AAAATATTCTTTAGAACAAGAAAATAAGAAAAACAAATCATGGTGTGTGGTTACAATAGTGATGATAGATATTCTTTTTGTTATGGAAGCTGTGAGCTATATAGACCATTATATACTATTAGTAATACAATTGGATGCTATTTAAACTTTAGAAATAAGATGGTATTTTATACTAAAAATGGCATAAGCCAAGGTAATTAATTGATATATATTTCTTTTTAATTGATTAAATAATTGACTTGATTTTTTCCATAATTTAAGAAACTGCATACTATTTTACCTGATAATTTAAAATATAGTTTGTACTTTTACATTGGACTAAGATTACAAAATACTTTAATAGAATCAAATTTTGGTTATAAGAAGTTTGAATATTTAGGTAAATTTATCTAGCATTCAAATTTATTATTTTTATGTGTATTAAAAATTTTAATAATATTACTTATCTCTTATGAATAGCAATGGCTAACAATGATCTTAGTAAAAAGTTATTATTATAGAAAAAAATGAGATAAATTTTAAAACCTTTGACTAATATGTAGATGAGTTAAACAAACTATTAAAAAAAAAGTAAAGTAATATACTTGAATTAAGCCATCAAAAAAACATATTTTTCCTTATAGGCGAATATGATAAAGCACTTGAAGATTTAACTAAACTGCTAGAAAATGAACCAGATAATATAATAGCATTAAAATATTAAGAAAAAATTTATTATTTTATAGGCAAATATGATAAAGCACTTAAAGATTTAACTAAACTGCTAGAAAATGAATCAGATAATATAATAGCACCAAGATATCAAGGAGAAATTTATTGTATTATAGGCAAATATAATAAATTAATTACTGACTTAGAGAAATTGTTAACAATTAGATCTGATAATGAATGGCCCATAAATTAGTTAATGAGCTGTAAGTATAATGTGAATTTGGAAATTTTTAGATTTTAAATTTGCTAGAAGCAAATAATATACTTGCTATCATTATAGTATAATAGAATTATGACTGTTAATTTTAATACAAATTAACCCAACTACATACTGTGTATTACTGCAATAGCGAGTAAGTTTTGTATCAAAATTTTTTACAGCAATCATGATAGAAATTACAACTCAAATCTTCAAGCTAACTCAACTTTAACTGTATTATCACAATAGCATATAAGTTTTTGCAACAAAATTTTTACAGTAAACAATAATAAAATCATGGTTGTTAATTCCTAAAAAACAAATACAATCATATATTGTGTGTATTCGAAATAGCAAGTTTTTGGTTTTATAGGTAGAAGCTACAACAATTAATTCTAATACAAACTAATTAACCTTAACTATATACTGTGTGTTATCACAATAGCAAATAAGTTTTGCAAAAAAATTTTTTACAGTAAATCATGATAGAAATACCAAGAGTAAATTATAAGTAAAAGATTTCTTATATCTGAAGGATAATAAATATAAAATATACAGTTTAATCAAAGAAACTATAATTTGATAAAAATTAAGCTAATTGCAACTAATATAACTAGTAATGGGAAAATTTATAATAATATGTATATACATGTTATATGAACTAGGTAAATGGAGGCCAATTAAGGTCCAAAAGATTTATCACAGATCAGTCTGACAATAGGTATTTTCGGAAAAACATTTGTTTTTATCAGATTAACCAATCAAACTCCTTAATTTGCGAACACACATATATTCAGGTCACTATGACTCTCCCGTAATATTCTTCAGACAATTAGTATAAATATGCATGATATTACATGATATAATCTTTGGAAATTTATATTTTTTCTTTGAAAAATATGTTCATTTATTTTCTTTCCAGAATTAAATTTTTTAATATGATAGCAAATTGAAAATTGGTGATAATTTTTTTTTTGAAAGGATTTGGCACATTGAAAAAAATGAGATGTTGAAAAAAAATGGGATGTCGAAAAAATAGGATATCAAAAAAAATAGAATGTCAAAAAAAATAGAACATCAAAAAAAATAGGATATCAAAAAAAATAAGACATCAAAAAAAATAGGACACAAAAAAAATAAAATGTCAAAAAAATAGAACATCGAAAAAAATAGAAAAGAGACCTTTTTTTTTTTTTTTTTTTTTTTTTAAATCTTTTTTTTTTTCTTTCTTAGCCAATTTTTTTAGAGTTGTTTTTCTTTCTCATATTTTTTTAACTCACTCTGAATTTTTTTTTTTGGTTTATTTTTTGAACTTTGAGTGATAATATCTTAATAGCAACCAAGTTAAATTCAATAAAGTTTTTTTTATTTGAATTCTATACATTATTAGAATTCAAATAAAAAAAAGTTCATCGAATTTGGTTAGATAGGTGTCGAGATATCTTCGATCAAAGTTTGAAAATAAATTTTAATAGATTTTGATTGATAGATACTAAAAAATTTTTACTACTACTTGGTTAGCCAAACCGAAATTTGTATACTAATAGATAACATGCTAAAAATTCGGGAATTGTCAAGGAATCTTTGAAATTGTGATTTTTTAAGTGAGAATTTTTAAAAAAAATATTGAATTGAAGAGAATTTTACTGATTTTTGTGATGAATGATCAATGGCTAATCACACTAATTTGAAAAGCACTGTAATTACATATATTGAATACTAGTTCGATAGATAGTACAAAGTGCCACTCATCTTATTTGTTTAATCAAATTACTGTTAATATTAAATATTCTTTACAGAATTTATTATTTATTGCAATATGCATGATATGTAATTAAATTTTAATAAATTTCATCGATATTATTTATTAATATAATTACAGTAAGATTGTCAATTTTTACTATAATTTGAAGTAAAAATTTCTATTATAGAACTTGCTATTCAATTATCACAGTATGTAGTTACAGTTGAGTTTATTGGATTAGAATTATTATTACAGTTAATCACATGTTTTCTTGAAACACAATCCTTAAGGTAAATAGAATTAAATTGCATACTCACTTTGGTAATTTATTGAATGATTGAATGTTTATCATTAATCAATATCTTGTAATACAATTGCTAGAGCGAATTGAATTAAACTTCATACTCACACTGGTAATTTATTTGAACATTTAAATGATTATGACTAATCACACATTTTCTTGAAGCACAATTGTTAAAATGAATTGAATTAAACTTCATACTCACCTGGTAATTTATTAAACGATTGAATGATTATGATTACTTAATGTCTTGAAACACAATCATTAAAGTGAATGGAATTAAATTTCATACTTGCTCTGGTAATTTATTTAAACAATGTTCTCTTGAAACACAATTGTTAAAATGAATCGAATTAAATTTTGTACCCACTCTAGTAATTTATTCAAATGGTTGAATAATTATGGTTAATCAATGTCTTGAAACACAATCATTAAAGCGAATCGAATTTAACTTCATACCCACCCTAGAAATTTATTTGAACAATTAAATGATTACAATTAATTGCATGTTTTCTTGAAACACAATCTGTTAAGATGAATTGAATTAAACTTTTTCTCACTTTGATAATTTATTGAATGATTGAATAGTTACAGTTAATTACACATTCTTTTGAAACATAGTCATTAAGGCAAATCGAATTAAACTTTATACCCACTTTGGTAATTTATTAAATGATTGAATATTATAGTTAATCAATGTTTTAAAACATAATCATTAAAGTGAATCAATTTAAACTTAATTCTCACCTTGTAATTTATTTAAATGATTGAATGATTATAGTTAATCACATGTTCTCTTGAAACACAAACATTAAAGTAAATCAAATTAATCTTTGTACTCATCTTGGTAATTTATTTGAACAATTGAATAATTACAGTTAATCACACATTCTCTTGAAATGCAATCATTAAAGTGAATCGAATTAAACTTCGTATTTACCTTGGTAATTTATTGAATGATTAAATGATTTTGGTTAATTAATATCATAAAACACAATCATTAAAGTGAATTTAATTAAGCTTCATACTCACTCTAGCAATTTATTTGAACTATTAAATAATTACAGTTATTCACACATTCTCTTGAAACATAATTGTTAAAGTGAGTCGAATTAAATTTTATTCTCACCCTGGTAATTTATTTAAATGATTAATTAAGCAATGTTTTGAAACACAATCGTTAAAGTAAATTGATTAAACTTTATACTCACACTTGTAATTTATTTGAATGATTGAATAATATGATTAATTAATATCTTTAAATACAATTGTTAAAGCGAATTAAACTAAACTTTGTTCTTACTCTGGTAATTTATTTGAACGATTGAATAATTGCAGTTTAATATATTTCTTGAAACACAATTATTAAAGTAAATCGAATTAAATTTCATACTCACCCTAGTACTTTAAATGATTACAGTTAATCAATATTTTAAAACACATAAAGCAAACTGAATTAAACTTATACTCATGCTCACTCTAGTAATTTATTTAAATAATACAATTATTAAAGCAAATCAAACTAAACTTTGTATTCACCCTAGTAATTTTTTTGAATGATTAAATAATTATAGTTAATCAATGTCTTAAACATATTTGTTAAAGTGAATCAAATTAAACGTATACTCACCCTAGTAATTTATTTGAATAATTAAATGATTATGATTAATCACACATTTTCTTAAAGCACAATCATTTAAGTGAATCAAATTAAACTTTATACTCACTTCTGTAATTTGTTGAATGATTGAATGATTACAGTTAATCAATATTATGAAACACAGTAATTAAAGCGAATTTAATTAAGCTTTATACTTACTCTAGCAATTTATTTGAATTATTAAATATTTATAATTAATCACACATTCTCTTGAAAATCACACTATATCAATCGATTATATATATATATATATTTTGCAGTTGTCACATAGTATGCGTTCTGAAATCACAGCATATCGGGAGTGCATGAATTGTTTAGACTACAAATTGTATATTTTTTTCATGTACTCACGTTGCACACATGATCATCGCTATTAAATTTAGGCATGTTATCTTGTACCCGATCATTACTTTTTCTCTCTATTCCTAATTACATAAATCTGTGTTTCTTTTTTTTCCGCATTTGCTTTTTAATTTTGGTAGCTTTTTTTTTTATTAGTTTCGCGATTCTCTTTTTTTTTTTTACAAGCACTTTACTTCGAGAGAGTATTTCTTTTTTTTTTTGTCTTTGCTTTTTTTTACTTTTACCTCTTTCTTTCCCGAATTCAATCCGTTAACGTTTTTTTTTTCTGACCCAAACCGATTCTTCTATTGCTTAATTCACAGCTACACTAACAAAGGCCTTGCCGACACAACCACGATTTCATACTCAACCTATGCTTACAAATAGATTGAATGCAAATAAATTGCTACCTTTAAGCCTACAACTAACTAACGAATTAGATCTAAAAAGAACTAAAATAAGAAGCGTCCTATAGCAAAATAAGTGAAAAGTTTCTAAAAAGTAAGTGAAGGGAGCAAACTTTAACTAAAAAAAACAAAACAGGTAATAAAATTTTTTTTTTTATTGTCTTCTCGAATTTATGTCAGGGAGAAAAAAAAATAAGTTGAACAATAAGAAAAAGCAAACATTTTTTTTTTTTTTTTTTTCTATTTCCAATTTTCTTATTACTTACTTTTATTTTTTCTTTTTACCAAGAAGTAAACTCGGGAAAGTATTTTTTTTTTTGTTGAAAGCTATTTCAGATTAATTCGATTTGATCTAATCGATGTTTTTATGCTTATTAAGCATATATAACGAATCACTTACGGATTTAACTACATCATTAGAAATTAAACCAAATGATGCGTATTATTAGGAGTTCGTGGGGAACCTTATCGTGTGATGAACAGGTAATAAAAGCTATTTTCGGATTTAATTAATTAATTCGATTTGATCTAACCGATGTTTTTGTGCTTATTAAGCGAATATGACGAATCACTTACGGATTTAACTAAATCATTGGAAATTGAACCAAATGATGCGTATAATTAGGAGTTCGTGGAGAACCTAATCGCGTGATGAAAAGGTAATAAAAGCTATTTTCGGATTTAATTCATTAATTCGATTTGATCTAACTGATGTTTTTGTGCTTATTACGCGAATATGCCAAATCGCTTACGGGTTTAACTAAATCATTGGAAATTGCACCAACTGATGCGTATCATTAGGAGTTCATAGAGAACCTTTTTGCGTGATGAACAGGTAATAAAGCTATTTTCGAATTAATTTGATTTGATCTAATCGATGTTTTTATGCTTATTAAGCAGATATGAAGAATTACTTATGAATTTAAATAAATCATTTGAAATTGAACTGAATGATGTGTCGAATTAGAAGCTCGTGGAGATCCTTATTGCATGATGACCAGGTATTAAAGGCTATTTTTGAATTGAAATTAATTAATTTGATTTGATCTAATCGATGTTTTTGTCTTATTAAGCAGATATATGAATCATTTACTGATTTAACTAATTCATAAAAATTGAACCAAATTATGCGTGGGCTTAGGAGAACTTATCGTGTGATTAACAGGTAATAAAAGTTATTTTCGGCTTTTAATTAATTAATTCGATTTGATCTAATAGATGCTTTTGTCTTATTAAGCAGATATGAAGAATCACTTACGATTTAAATAAATCATTAGAAATTGATCTAAATAAAGCATGGAATTAGGAGTTCATATCGCATGATAAACAGGTATTAAGAGTATTTTCGTATTTAAATTAATTAATTTGCTCTAAACGATGTATTTTTATTAAGAATCACTTACGGATTTAAATAAATCATTGGAAATTGATCCGAATGATACGTGGATTTATGATTTCGTGAAGAAACTTATCGCGTAATGAAAAGATATGATGAGCTATTTCGTATTTAAATTAATTATTTTGATCTAATCGATGTATTTTTATTAAGCAGATATGAAGAATCATTTACAGATTTAAATAAATCATTGGAAATTAATCTGAATGATGCGTGGATTTATGATTTTGTGGAGAAACTTATCACGTGATGAAAAGGTATGATGAGCTATTTCGTATTTAAATTAATTAATTGATCTAATCAATGTATTTTTATTAAGCAGATATAAAGAATTAATTACGGATTTAAATAAATCATTGAAAATTGATCTGAATGATGTGTGCATTTATGATTTCGTGGAGAAACTTATCATGTGATAAAAAGGTATGTTGAGCTATTTCGTATTTAAATTAATTAATTTGATCTAATCAATGTATTTTTATTAAGCAGATATGAAGAATCACTTACAGATTTAAATAAATTTATCCGAATGATGCGTGGAATTAGGAGTTCGTATCGCATGCTAAACTGGTATTAAGAGTATTTTTCTATTTAAATTAATTATTTAAATTTGTTCTAAACAATGTATTTATTAAGCAGATATGAAGAATCACTTACAAATTTAAATAAATCATTTGAAATTGAACTGAATGATGTGTGGACTTAGGAGTTCGCTAAGAACCTTATTGCATGATGAACAGTTATTATGAGTATTTTCTAAATGCTGTATTTATTAAGCAGATATGAAGAATCACTTATAGATTTAAATAAATCATTAGAAATTGAAGTGAATAATATATGGACTTAGGAGTTTATGGAGAACCTTATCGCATAATGAACAGGTATTATGAGTATTTTCTAAACGATGTATTTATTAAGCAGATATAAAAAATCACTTATGGATTTAGATAAATCATTGGAAATTGAACTGAATGCTGTGTATAATTAGGTGTTCACGGAGAACCTTATTGCATGATGAACAAGTATTAAGATTATTTTTTATTTAAATTAATTATTAAGAGTTAGGGTCCCATAGCCTAGTGGTCTAGGCGTCTAACCCTCCACAGACAAGGTCAACGGTTCAATTATAGCTGGTGGTAATTAATTTAATTAGTTATCTCTGTAACCTATGGGAGCTTTTAAATGCGAAACCCTGTGACGATAAGACCATATAAAGTACTTATTTAGCTTATAAAGAATTCTTGGAAAGAGTCCTGAGCCATAGAGAAGACTGGGCACTATGTGTGACATGGCGTCATGGAAAGTAATACCGCATAAGGTTGTGCATGTAAATCCTCGATTGGCTAGATAGCACCAACAACTCTAAGGCAGTTTTGGGAATCTTGATTGGGAGGACGGCTAAATGTAGTATATCTGGAAGTGGTGAATACAGCAAGGAGCTGTGGTAAGAGGATGGCTTTACCAAATAAAGAAACATCTCTGGCATACAGAATTGGACAATAGAAAATCTTATAATATAGTACGTAATTGAGGACTAATTAGAAAGGTTGAAATTGAGATACAGATTGTATTATGGCCGCATCCCAAAAGGTGGCGTGAGATACGAACACAATGGTGGCAGTTAATATGTACTAATTGGGAAGAAAATTACGAAAAATAAATAGTTGCATGGGTGGGACATGTAATGGTAGGTTGCTCCAACCGATCCTAGCTTGAAGTTGGCTTGAAATAGTTAATGGAAAAGTAATATAGGAAAATAAGGAGTATAATGCCACATTGGGTAACTAGTAATAGTAGCACAAATGTAATTAGAAACTGTATATATGTTAGAAGAAAGCCTTTAAAAATAAAAATAAAATAAAGTTTCTATGTTGGCAATATAAAAAAAAAAAAAAAAAAAAAACTTGCTGAAATTCAAGTTATATAGCATGAAAAAATTTATTAATTCTTAAACTAGCAATCAAATAGTTAAATGGTACAATAGGCCTTCTTAATGAATCAGATACAAAAAAAAATGCATAGGAGTTAAGTAATCATATATTAAATAACTATGAATAGGAATTATTAAATAAGTTAGTTAGTATACTAGAATTTTTTGATCAACTAATAACATATCTAAGTGGAATACAATATATAACACTATCAGTAATAAATCCTAGTATTGAATCTTTGAAATATTAATATAAATTAAACCAAATATAGAATAATCAGAATGAATTAAAAAGTGATAATAGTTAGTATATTTTAATACAATAAATAAAATATATATATTATTAATATTTAGAACAAAATATTTAGAATCTAATTCATCCTGTAATAAGAATAAAGAAAGCAGTAAAAATAAGTCTGATAATGAATATTTTACCAGTTTATATAAGTACAATACTTGAAGTAAAAAACATAAACCAGTACCAATGCATTCTATTAATACAATAGTTGCAAAGTTACATAGCATTATTTACAATTCTCTCTGACATTACTGATTAGATATAGACAAAGTAGAACTTATAGCAACTGTGTTGGATTCAAGATTAAAGAGTATGGATTCATAGCCAAAAGAAATTCAAGAACAAACTATCATTGAATTACATAATGAATTTCAAAATTTTATTATCATCAATGTAGAGTCTACTTTATCTAATTCAATTTAGCAAACTTTCTTAGCACTAAATTATATGAAATATATTTTTAATGCTAATTAACCTTAAACAAAACATGAAGCAGAAATTGATAACTATTTGAATTTCCAAATTACACTACCTGAATCTTAAAATACAAATGTTTATCTTTGGTAGCATTTAAACCAAAAGAAATTTAAAATATTAAGCTTAGTAAAAAGTTTTTATATAATTTTTTTGTATAAAAATTGTTAATCAATATAACAATTTTAATACAATTATGAGCATTTGTACAGTTTTTGTTACAGTATTTGTAAATAATTTGTAATAAATGAAATTACAACTATTTATTAAGTAAAAAATGCTTAGTTAATACTTTTGCTATAAACTATATTAACTCTATTACCTGGAAGTTTTTTTATATAAAATTACAATAATATGTATTATATTTACAATATATAAATTATTTTTTAAATATATACTATATAAAAATCCATTTATATATTATGATATAAATTTAAATTATTTAACAAAATATATACAAAAATTAGATATTTTAATTTTTTAAAAAAATAAAAATTTATTTATTTATACAGATTTTAAACAAATTTAAGCAAACAACTACAAAAACCAAATAAAAATAATATAATTAGTATACAAATACTTTTTACTGAGTAAGTAAAATTGCACAAAAGTACTTTTTAATTCTAGTAACATCAGTTCCTTCTGAAAGGTTATTTTCTGTTGCCAGAAATCAAGTCACCTCTCAAAGAACTAAACTTGTACCAGATTTTGTAAACTAATTATTTTTTGTCAAGCAGAATAGTTTGTATTGTGATATGTGGTTTTAACAAAATTAAAATATTTCAATACACAGTCTTAGATATTAAGATATACTGTAATCTGCTTAAGTAAAATAGTATAATAATTTACTAAAGCTTGAATTCACTTTACTTTCTAATAACCTGTAATACAAAATTATTATCAATTAATAAAACTTATTAGATTGTAGAAATTATTTAAAATCTACTAATATAACTATATGTTTAACTCA